ACAAAACTAATTTGGCATTTTTCTTTATTGGCGAATTTCACTGTTCTAATTAGTACAGCATTTGTCTGCCAGTTTGCTGGACTAACTTGGAGGTTGCTGTAATGCTGAATCCTATGCCACTGTATCAAATGCCACAAGGGTCACCCGTGGTGAACAGGTTTTAGTAAAGCTCCCAGATTAACAAAGACTAGAAAACAGGATTGACCATCCACTTCTAAAATAGCAGGCCTCTGAAAACCCTATGAACAATAGAGGAACACAGGTAGTTATAGCGTATCAGAGGTAGAGCCTATATTGGGAGTCAATCAAAATTAGGAAAAACAGCAGCAAATATCCTTTAATAACTGGAACATGGAATATACAAAGAATGAATGCTGGAAAACTAGAAGACTGCAATTCAAGGCATTAGTGAGATGAGATGGACTAGCTTTCACCAATGCAAATCAGACAATAACATAGCATTCTATGCTGGGAATGAAAAAAAGAATGGTGCTGAATTCATAGTTAAAATTATAACTTCAAGTTCTATCAGAAGTACAATGTTGTGAGGGATAGGGTATTATCCATAAATATAGAAGGACGACCTGTTAAATGGGCTATTACTCAAATATACTCTCAGACAGCTAAAGCCAAAGCTATGGTTAAAGCTCCAAAGAAGGAATCAGAACTCTTGCAGCCCAAAACTGATCAAACATGTAATCAAGATACATTAATGATAACTGGTGACTGGAAATGCAAAAATTGGAAACAATAAAGAAGGAATGGCAGTCACAAAGTATGGACTTGGTGACAGAAATGAGGCTGGAGAGAAATGCACAATGTACAGAGGATAAAACAGATATGGGACCTTCTAAAGATTAAATCCCTTTGTCCATCAAAGAACATTTCCCAACAGAGTGAAAGGAAAACCTCCTGACTGAGAAAAACATTTGGCAATATCATTTCAGACAAGGATGTCATATCAAAAGTATACAGAATCCTGCAAGGCCTCCACAAGAAAAAGACTGATCACACAATTGCAAAATGGGCAAAAGACATGGGAAGAATTTTCACAGAGGAAGATATTCTGATGGCCAACAGATACATGAAAAAATGCTCAAAATCACTGGCAATAAGAGAGATACAAACTCAAACCACAATGAGATACCATCTCACTGCAGTAGTGGTAAAGTTTAACAGGACAATAATAACTGTTGGAGAGGATGTGGTGAGATAAGAACTCTTATACATTGTTGGTGGGGTTGTAAAATGGTACAATGATTCTGGAAGGCAGTCTGGCATTTCCTCAGAAAGTTAAACAGAAATTCCGTATGACCCAGCTATTCCACCTGCTTGGAATATACTCTGAGGAAATGAGAACTGAGGCACAAACGGAGACACCTATGTTCATAAAAGCATTATTAATCATCACAAGAACATGGAAACAGCTCATAAGTCCAAATACAATGGAATAGACTGAGAAATTATGGTATAGTCACATAATGGTATACCATGCAGCATGCAGGAGCAATGGTTTTGTAAATTACTACCTAGAGTCACTATACCACAAAGAATTGACTTACACAGAAGAATTCCAAGAAACAACATATGATAAAGAGGCAATAGTAATGAAGGAGGAAATTCAGGCTGCTCTCATGGACTTGGCCCTAGAAATAAAGCCCTAGAAATTGATGGAATACTAACTGATAGTTCAACAAACTGACGTTGCCCTGGATGTGTTCACCAAGTTGTGTCAAGAAATCTGGAGGACAACTACCTGGTCAAAGACTGGATGAGATCCATAATTATTCCCATTCAAAAAAAAGGTGACCTGACAGAGTGTGGAAATATTGTACAGTATCATTCATATCACACGCAAGCACAATCCTGAAGATTATCCAGAAATGACTGTAACAATACATTGACAGAGAACTACCAGAAATAACAAGATAGATTTAAAAGTGGCACTAGAGACATTATTGCCAATGTCAGATGGATGTTAGCAGAAAGCAAAGTGTACCAGAGGGATATCTATCTGTGTTCCATAACTGTGCAAAGCCATTTCACTGTGTGGATCACAACAAATTGTGGTTAACTTTGAGGAGAATGGGATCCCAGAACATTTGATTGTGCTTATGTGAAACCTATAGTTGGACCAGGAAGCAGTCTTCAGAATGGAGCCGGGAAACATTGCATGGTTCAAAATCAGGAAGGGAGTGAGTCAGGGATGCATGCTGTTTCCACAGCTTTTCAATCTTTATGCAGAACAATTCAGGAAGGTGGGCTTTATGAGGAGGAATGTGGCATCAGGATTGGAGGAAGACTTATCAACAATCTACTTTATGTAGATGACACAACCTTGCTTGCTGAAACTGAGGTGGACCTGAAGCACTTGTTGCAGAAGGTCAAGGACTGTAGTCTTCAATAGGATTGAAGCTCAACATCAAGAAAACAAAGATTCTCACCACGGGGCAAACTGGTGGCATCATGATGGATGGAGAAGAGATCGAAGTTGTTAACAGTTACAGCTTGCTCAGCTCCACAATCAACACTCTTGGCACCAGCAGTCAGGAAATAAAAAACCGAATTGCTTTAGGTAAATCTGCTGTCATGGACCTTTCCAGAGTATTGAGAAGCAACGATGTCAGTTTAGAGACGAAGGTGCACCTGATCCAGGCCATGGTCTTCAAAATTACTTGATATGTATCAGAGAGCTGGACAATACTACAGATGACAGAAGAACTGATGCCTTTAAATTGTGCTGGAGAAGAGTCTTGAGCAAACCACAGACCATCAGGAAAACAAACAGATCTGCCTTGTAGAGGATCAAACCATGGAAGCTAGAATTTTGAAGCTCCATCTCACATACTTTGGGCATATGGCATGGAGGGACAGTGCAGGAGAAGAACACCCTGGATGAGATGGATTGAAAAAGTAACTAGGACAATGGGGGTAGATGTGTCAGAGTCAGTGAGACCGGCTCAGGACAGGGCAGGCTTCAGGGCTGTTGCACATAAGGTCACTATGATTCTCAGGTACATAACACCACAACAACTATCATCTAACTTTGGAGGGACTGGAGAGTATAACGCTAAGTGAACTAACTTGGTCCCATAAGGACAAATATTGTATAAGAACGTGTTTGAGGATCCAAGAGGGGAAGCGTGAGAGCAGAGAGGAGAGGCTGGGTGAGGGGTAGTGTGCTTAATCGTAGTCACATAATCTGATGGGTGAAGGGTGGGTTGGATAAAGAAAATGGGAAAGATATGGTGTGAAAAACAATGTATGTGGGCCTTTAAATAAACTAGTATATAACATAAATATCTTTTTTAAAAAAAAAAAGAAATGAGGCTGGAAACAAAACGACTGAATTTTATATTTTCAATGATTTATTCATTGCAAACACCTTTTAAAAACCACAAATGGCCAACTTTACACATGAACCTCACCTGGTGGACTGCACAGGAATCAGACTGACTGTATCTGTGGAATGAATCACTGGAGAAGATCAGGATCAGCATTTAAAACCAGGGCAGAGAAAGACTGTGGATCTAATCATCAATTATTCATGTGCAAGTTCAAACTGAGGTAGAAGAAAATTAAAACAAGTCCATAAGAACCAAAATAAGATCTTAAGTCTATACCACCTGAATTAAAAAATCATCATAAGAACAGGTTTGAAGCACTGAATAGCAATGATCGAACACCAAAGGAGTTGTGGGATGACATCAAGGATATCATCCATGAAGAGAGTCAAAGGTCACTACATATCTGTGTAGAAAGGAAAAGAAAACCTAAAACAGATGTCAAAAAAGGCTCTGAAAATTACACTAGAGTGTCGAGAAGCTAAAACAAAGGAGAAAGATACTGAAGAGCTGAACAGAAGATTTCAAAGGGCAGCTAGAAAAGGCAAAGCAAAATACTGTACTCAAATGTGCAAAGCTGGAATTGAAAAATAACAAGAACTTGGCCAGCATTTCTCAAATTGAGAGAAAAAACAAACGTAAGCCTAGAGTTGCAACACTGAAGGATGCTATGAGCAATATATTGAATGATCCACCTTTTGAAGATGGAAGAGATACACAGTCACTACACACACATTTTTATATATATATTTATTTATTTTTAGAGAGAGAGAGAGACTCAAAAATTTCAGTACCATATGAACAAGAGCCACTGGTAATAAAGGAAAAAGTTGAAGCTGCACTGAAAGCATGGGAGTAAGGCCCTAGGAATTGATGGGATACTAACTGATTTGTTTCAACTAAAAGATGCAGCCTTGGATGTGCTCACCATTCTATGCCAGGAAATTTGGAGGACAGCTGTCTGGCCAACAGACTGGAAGAGATCCATATTTATTTCAATTCCCAAGAAAGGTGATTCAACAGAATGTGGAAATTAACATTAATATGACATGCAAACAAAATACTGCTGAATGTTATTAAAAATGGATAGAATAGTACATAGAATACTAGAATAGTACATAGACAGGAAATTTCAGAAGTTCAAGCAGAATTTCTAAAGAGGCTTTAACACCAACGATATTATTGCTGATGTCAGATGGATCCTGGCTGAAAGTAAAAAATATAAGAATAATGTCTATTTAAGCTTTATTAACTATGCAAAGACACTTAATTGTGTGGATCATAACAATTACGGCTAACATTGACAGAACGGGAATTTCCAGAACACTTAATTATGCTCATGAGAAACCCAGACCAAGAAGCTGTTGTGAGAAGAGAGCAAGATAATATTACCAAGGGGAGCTCTGGTGGCCTAGTGGCAAGAAGCTGCACTGCAATCCCAGAGGTACATGGTTTGAATCCACTAGATGCTCTGCCGGAGAAGGAGGAGCAATATCCTCCTGTACCAGTCAGATCTGATTTGACGGTACACACACACACAAAATAATTTAAAA